AATCGAGCGGTGTCGAATCGTACTGTGGTCAAACGGAACCCGCCCAAAATGAAGTCATACGGATAATTGTTATTAATTAAAATGTTAAAAATTAAGTCAAAGTTTTTGGCGTTAAATTGTGGATGAGATAAAAAGAAGCCCCTGTCAACAAGACTAATAACAGTACCTCTTTTTTGGCAAATAGGATGGTTAGAGAAAAAATTTAAATATTTGCCTGAGAATGTCGGTTTGTGATACCAGTCGTGAATGAGTCTATTGTTATGCTTTATAATTGTAATGTCCAGAAAATTAAGTCTATCATAGCCAATCTCCATAGTAAATTGCAAACGTGGGTGATATGAATTATATATCTCCAAAACATTATCAAATTGGTGTGATGGAACCATGAGCGCTATGTCATCTACATATCTAATATGTAGAGGTGGTATAAAAGATAAAGAACTAATGGTGAACGTTTCTAGATCCTGCATGACTATATCTGCTAGAATCGGTGAGAGAGGAGATCCCATGGGAGCGCCGAATGTCTGTTTATATATTTTATCATTGAAAAGAAAAAAAGTGGAGTTGAAAACAAAATTGATTGCCGTAAAAAATTCTTCTTTAGGTAAGGAGGTGCTGAGCTTTATCAATTGCCATCTCTTTTCAAGACCCTTGATAGCGAGATCCAGAGGAATGTTAGTGAATAATGATATGACATCAAGTGATATCAAATCAAAAGATTGATCATAAGTTACCTTGGAGACACGGCTAGCAAGATGGAAACTATTGAGAACACATGTAGGTGGAGAAACAAGATTTTTAGAAATAATTTTGTGTAAAAATATGGCCAAATTGTGTAGAGGACTGTTGGTTGAAGATATAATGATTCTAAAAGGGTTGCCAGGTTTGTGGATTTTAGGAACTCCGTAGGCTCTAGGTAGAATAGTGTGTGAAACATTTAAGTGTTTGTATGTCGATTCTGTGATGTATTCACGCGTTTTCCATCTTTTTAATATATCTTTTAAAGACGTAATAAGGGAATTCACAGGATTCCTTTTAACAATAGAATATGTATTGATATCAGAAAGTACAAGTTCAATTTGAGTAATGTAATTATCTCTGTCCAATGCGACTACCGAATTACCCTTATCAGCTCTAGTAAACACGATGGAAGGATGACTCTTAGTAAACTTTTGAGTGATATTGAAAGCTTGTTTAATGTCTTCATCATAATGTAATTCGGTAAATTGAGAAACTTTCATTTGTTTAAGGACTGATACAAATTTATTACGACACTCAATTTTATTATTATTGTTAAAGTGTATAATGTTATTCTCAAAGTTTTTAATCAATTCAAAAGTCAATTTTTGATTATTATCAGGAGGGAAGCAAAAGTTTTCACCCAACTGTAATAAAGTAACGTTAATATTACACACACATTATCACCTGTGTTTCTTGCTTCAAATGGCCATGAAATTTTCCTGTTCTTTTGAGAATTTTTTGAAGCGTATCTATACTCCTTTTCTATGTTTTTAAATGTTGCAAAAATATAATGAATATTAATCAATATTATTAAATTGTTACTCTCGTTTTTCTCTGCCTAGAGTGAGCATCTTCATTTATTTCCGGAGTGTATTTTTATCTACAATACATTCCGTTTGCTATTTTCTTCTCTTTCATTCACATATGCACATTTTGCTCTGCGTATCGTTTTTTTCTAACCATTTTCTGTACCCCCACTAGACTCCAATTTTTCATATATGCACATGCGCGAATGAGAGAAAACGAAAAGCATCAAACAGAGTGTGTCCTTTTCTACGTAGACCTTACCCCCACTCCGCAAATAAACGCGGATTATTGCCCCTTGGTTAAAGCTGCGTCCATATAAGATTATAGAACTACAACTCCGAAGCGAAACTATCGTACAAGCAATAACCGATAGTAACCAAATCGGCATCATGCAGGCAAAAGAAACGCAACTAGGATATTTATAGGAAGCTGTTTAGTACAGCCAAGGAAAAATTTCTGTCCAATAAGCGTAATAAATACCACGGAAAAAACGGTGAAAATGAGCACATGTGTTAAGCTTGAAACATTAGAAGAAGAGAGCGAGACAGAAAGTGAAATAACGAACGTAAGCATAAAGACGGAGAAGTTTGCGCGACGCAAAAGAGTGAAAAAGGCACTGCGGGTGAAGCATCTGAATAAAGAGAAAAAACAAGGTTTGCATGAGATATGCGAAAAGTATCAAGATATATTTCATTTCGCGGAGGAGCCACTCACTAAAACAAGCGCGGTAAAACACCGAATAGCGGTAAAAGCCGATACTGTACCGATAAATGTAAAGCCGTATAGATTGCAGCACAAACATAAGCAAGAGGTGGTACGACAAATAAAGGAAATGCTGGACAACGGAATAATACGCGACAGTGAGAACCAGTGAAACGTACCACTGCTTGTCGTGCCGAAAAAGATGGATGCGTCCGGCGTAAGAAAATTAAGAATAGTCGTAGATTTTCGTTGACTAAATGAGGCGACAATATGCGATTCTTTTCCACTGCCAAATATTGCGAAAATACTGGACCACCTTGGGAATGCAAAATATTTCTCAACGTTAGATTTGGCGTACGGGTATCATCAAATACCAATGGACGAAGAAAACAGAGATAAAACGGCGTTTTCAACGCCGCATGAGCATTTTGAATATAATAGGATGCCGTTTGAACTAACGAATGCGCCGGCAACATTCCAGAGATTAATGAATTTGATTCTGATAAGATTGCGAGGAATAAAATGCTTCGTGTATCTTGATGATATAGTGATACACGGCGCAAGTCTACAAGAACAGCAGGCGTTTACAGGAAGTATTCGAGAGACTGCGAAAGTACAATCTAAATCAGCAACTGGAGAAGTGCGTTTTTCCGCAGGGAGGTCACATATCTGGGACATGTGATTACCGAAAAAGGCATATCACCGGATCCGTCAAAACTGGAAGCGGTTAAGGCATTTCCGGTTCCAAAGAAAGTAAAAGATATCCAGGCATTCATAGGTCTGGCGAGGTATTATAGAAAGTTCATCGGCCAGTTTTCAAAAATAGCAAAACCGCTGACACAGTTGTTGCAAAAGGAAGCAGCGTTTGAGTGGGGTCCCAAGCAACAACAAGCGTTTGAAAGTTTTAAAGAAAAATTGATTAGCGCACCGTTGCTTGCTTATCCGGACTTCAACAAAAAGTTCGTTGTCACGACCGACGCGTCGGGTTACGCGGTCGGCGCGGTGCTATCGCAAGGTGCGGTAGGTCAGAACCGGCCGATTGCGTACGCGAGCCGTGTGCTGAATAGCGCAACTATAGCACTACGGAGAAAAAGTTACTCGCGATAGTGTGGGCAGTAAAGCATTTCAGGCCTTATTTGTACGGGACAAAGTTCAATATAGTCACCGATCATAAGGCGCTGATTTGGCTTTTTAATATAAAAGACCCCGGTTTGCGGCTTGTGCGATGGCGGTTAAAGCTAGAAGAGAATGATTATGAGATCGTGCATGAAAAAGGGAAGGCGAATACCAACGCGGACGCGCTGAGTAGGTTTCCCGCGGAGGCATGCACGTGTAAAACGAATGAGAGCGAAAAGGCAGAGGAAGATAAGAGCGAGAAGCCAGAGCTCACCGAGGAAGAAAAGAGACAGATACTGTACGAGTATCATGACTCACCAGTGGGCGCGCATCAGGGAATAGCGCGTACAATAAAAAGAATAAAGATGAAATATGACTGGCCCGAGTTAACAAGCGATGTAAAAAGTCATATTTCGAAATGTGAGTCCCGTCAAAAAAATAAGTTGTCACGGAAAATAAAAGTACCGCTGGTAATTACGGATACACCAAAAAAGCCTTTCAAAAAGTTTCTTTTTGTTTTTTATCTGAGGATAATCCAAAGCCTGGATCAAAACGTTATTTTCTAATAATAAATCCTTCTTTTTCACACACTAACATCCGTGTTTAGGTTCTTATTGGCCATTAAATCACTTCCTTTCGAAAAGTGCTCGCTTGACATTGTCGGACCATTACCGGTGACAAGTAGCGGAAACAAATATCTACTGACGTTTCAAGACGGACTCACGAAGTTTAGTAAAGCAATACTCGTTCCAAATCAGAGAGCCGCTACGATAGCAAGGGAGTTCGCGACAAAACTTGTGTGTGAACACGGAATTACGGAGACGATTTTAACGGCTCAAGGAACAAACTTTGTAAGCAAACTGTTTAAAAGTGTTTGCAAGTTATTGCGGATAAATAAGATACAAACAACGGCTTATCATCTGGAGAGTAACGGAGCGTTGGGGCAATCGCATAAGACGCTGGCCGAGTATATACGTCATTACGAGAACAAAGACCAGACGGATTGA